AGAAAAATTAGGCCTATGTATATATATATATATATATATATATATATATATATATATATATATATATATATATATATATATATATATATATATATATAATATATATATATATATATATATATACATACATAATCTGTAAAAGAAAAAAAATACACGATCCAATTTGTCTGGATAACGTAACAAATAAACAACTTAAAACGTAAACTTTCTAAACAAAATAATTATTCTAAATAATTAAAGGAGACAAATAAATTTCGTATATGAAAAGGTTTAACGAAAATAGAAGGAAAGATGTTAGAGCTGGGCAAGGGTTGCGGGCCGCACAGGGTGACACCATTGGGGGGGGGGTGACACCAAGGCAAAAAATGCCAAATTTTCAGAAGAAAAATGCTTTTTGCTTGTTTGCCTGTCCCATTTATAATTTTAAGTACAAATTTAGTAATCGATATAGATATATACTTTGTTTCTTGGGGGGGGGGGGAATGACACCACGAAGTGCCGCAACGGATGACACCCGACCTAGCGGCGACACTAAAAGATGTTTAAAAAATGCATCTTACAATCTCACTGTTCAGTTTAAGAAGTCGGCGCTAAAGGTATCTCGACCTTAAGTTAAATGTGAGACCAAAATTTACCATGTTTAGTTACACAGTAATCACAACAAAAAACAAGACACAGTATTAGTATATCCAATTTGACCCAACACAGACACACTAACACCAACACCCACAATCACACACACATACACATATATAAATATATATGTATCGAAATATATATCGATGGCCGTTGAGGCGGAGAGTTCTCTTTCTTTCTCTACATATCGGTTTCACGGTTACTAACGATCTTTGATATTTAACGTATTGTCTTAAGTGCGTCCTCTTCCCGCCAAAGTTTCGAGAGAACCCCTTTGAAAAATGTCTGAAAGAAACACAGACCATACAGAGGTCTTGAAAATGAAACTCAATGTCATTTTACCTGGAAAAAAAGGGAAGGGGGAGGTATGTGTGATGGTATGAGTGGCGGAGGAGGGTACTTGTCACGAAAATAATTGATGTCATTTATGGTAGAAACCCCCCCCCCCCCCAACCCCGAATTTTACTCTTCACACAAATACGTTAAACATTGGAAAATATTGTCGCCATCTTTGAAACCGGTCTTTAATTAAATAAGGGACATCGTCTGCTCATAAGCTGAAACGTGACTTCTTAATTATAGTAATTCGCCTGGTGTGTTCTGCCGCGTCAGAATGTATTAATCCGCGATTAGAGTAGTGCTGACTGAAAAGCCTAGCCAATCATTGGGCTCTTGAGTAGTCCTATCTATTTTAGGCCTAGTAGGCCTATTGCCAGTGCTCTGAAAATGTGTAATACGTCACAAGGGGAAAATACGAGTGAAGTAATAAAGGGAAATAAAAAAGAGTGCCATTGTTTTAGTGTCGACGGTCAACACAGGGACAGAACTCATGTTGGAAAATTTGGTACGTTATGATGTGAGCTATTTTGATATGTAAAAATTCCAACATTTAAATAAACAGATATCATTAAATTTATTTTAGAAACTAACATTTAATTTAAACCAGGTTTTTTTTTTTTTTTTTTTTTTTTTAAACTGCCGACCACATTTAGAATTGAAAATTTGTTATTTTATGTGAAGGTAAAATTAAAAAAAAAAGTTATGGAAGCCCTTATAAAGCTAGCCTTTAAATGCACAAAAAATAAAAACACTTCTTTTAGTTCTAGTTCAAAAAAGCGTTGACAACTATAATGTGTTAAAAGAGATCTAATTGAATTGTATATTATAAGCATCGATTTACCCCCCCCCCCCCATTCTCTTTCTCTGTCTGTGTGTACACACATACACACACACATATACATACATATATATATATATATATATATATATATATATATATATATATATATATATATATATATGTATATATATATATATATATATATATATATATATATATATATATATATATATATATATATATATATATATATATATATATATACCTTATTCACGTTAGGGAAACAAAGTCGACTGGGGATATTGTCGACCACATAATCCCACTCGATTTAAACATATATCATATGTATCTTGGTCACAAACGGGAAAAGATGATGATGATATATTACAGGCGTTTTGAGCAATGTGTATATTATTTGTATGGGGGTTAATGACTCTAGTCTACATTATGAAAGTTTGATGGTTGTAATCGTTGTAATTGTCTTATAATTAACAACTAGCCAAATTCTACCTTTGATGAAATAACTCTCCACATTCCCTATAAGCTACACCCCAGATTTAAAATGTCCTTTGAATGTCCATTAAAACTGGAACTATAGTGCTAGAGGCATCTTGATGTGTAAATTGGACTGTGGATTGTACGATGTGGTCATGTTGATGTGTAAATTGGACTGTGTGGATGGTAGGATGGGCCCAGCGCTATGCGTAAATTGGACTGGGGATTGTACGATGTGGTCATGTTGATGTGTAAATAGGACTGTGTGGATGGTACAAAACCGGCTGCCGGCTGCCTACATATGGTACGACCGGTTGATCTTTTGATCCATCCTATAGTACTACGACCAAGCTATGATTAATTGATTCGATGGTACGACCAATAAAGAAGGCAAATGTCATCGTGTGGAGGTACATCTAGTCTTGTATTGGTGCCAACGACTAAATGTAATTGGTTTCTTACACTATCAGTTCGTAAAGTCATTATGAATACAACCTGACTGGACTAATTATTTATCGATATTCGATCATACATTATTGATTAAAGCACACACACACACACGCACACACACACACACGCACGCACACACACACACACACACACACACACACACACACCGGTTTCTCCATCTATCCACTTATTTTGTTCTGTATTCTGCTGAATATACCAGGTGTGTTTTTGAATTTCTTTTCGAACAGTATCTTCTCAATTTTTCGTTCACTGTATAGATACTACAATGAATTGATATTTAGATCTAGTAAATTTAATGAAGCAGGAAATCTGTATAATGGAAGTTAACCTTCCGATTTTTTGCTAAATGAAGTAGCATGACGTATTTATGTCAAAAATGGTTTTGGGGCGTTGAGAGTGGATAGCTTTTACTAGCATGCATTTGTTTAATGCGTCAGTTTCAGAGTTTCCTCTCTTCGGGGAGGGGGGGGGGGGGGGGCTCCATCCCCCGAAGAAAGTCTACCGCCCCCCCCCCCCCCGAACGAAATGGAATTTACATAGAAAATATATACTTTTACCAGTGTCCGCCCCCCCCCCCCGAAAAAAGGGAGACCGCCCCCCCCCCCCCGAAAATATCAAGTACCCCCCCTCCCCGGAGAAAAAAGTCTGGAAGAAACACTGGTCAGTTTGCCTCGCTTTAGTATTGCTGTTTTCTTCATCGTCTATCCTCTAGTGAGGACTGATACATATTTACTTCTTTCTAACATGGAGGCTTTCATTCATTTACGATGCTTTACTTATACATAATACACAACGTCTAATAACCATTTTATTCTTTAAACCTCAAAATGCGCGTGTTATATATTTTAAAATTAAAAAGTCAAAATAGGAGGGCATGTAATTTTCAGTAGGGTTGATAATATTGTCACAGCATTTTTTTTTATTACCATCAACTTTAATGCAATCTTAAATTACAATTTTTTTGACCCTATCAGTTTACTTCTTGGCAGTCTTCTTCTTTTTAAGTTTTTTTTTACGATTTTTACCTCCCCCCCCCCCCTACCCTCCGTCACACGTCGTCACAAAAAGCCAGACCCCCCCCCCTAAAATGACGTCACACTTCAGCCTAAAACCCCCCTCAAAATTGCAGTTGAATTTTTTTTTAAAACATCGATATTTTTCTTGAATCTTGTCTGAACTCTGTCAAAATATAGTATTTTAATCAATTCCTTTTACAATTTATTAAACAGTATCTAAAACGCGAAATAACGTCTACATTTCGTTTTCTAACATTGCTTTTTTATAATGCAAAAGTGTGACGTCGCACCATCTGAACCCCCACCCCCCTCCCCCTCATCACACACCGTCACAAAATTACGGACACCCTCCCCCCTACGAGTCTGACGTTATTTATGGACGACCCCTTAGATGGGGCTTTGCGCTCTGCTTTCCTTAATTTACTATATTCTATGTTGATTAGGCGATTACGAGCCTGCTTTGCTTTCATTAGCTTGAACCTCTCAAAATCAGTCAATTCAGCCCTCCTTTGAGCTGTAGCTAGTTTCTTGGTTCAGGTGGATTGCTCCCACTTCTTTCTTACCTTTTTTTTCTCCCAAGCTTTCTGAACTATTCATGACCTAGCAGAGGGTCCAATGTTAATTGTAAACTGTAAGATGGAGTGCTTAGAAAATTTAAATCTTTGCTACCCACACCTGAGCAAGGTCCATCTACAAGAGCTCTGTTTTGGTCAGTGACATCAACTTGCCTTTAACATCTCCATGGGCAACAAATCTATTGTAGGCTAAGTTTTTTGTTGTTGTTTTTTTTTTTGCGAATGGTAGAATTTTATTGTGATGCACTCATATCATTTAAGCCCGTTAATAATATTTTACAAGATGTGGTGCGTGACAATTTGAAAATTGCATTCATCTTCTAATCTGCTGGTGATGCCACATAAACCCCCCTCAAGCACACTCAATCATCTGATCAGTGGCGTAGCGAGGTCGGGTGTCACCCGGTGCGGCACTTAATGGTGTCACCCCCCCCCCCCCCCCCCCCCAGAGGCATAGAGACCCTTCCAAGGGACAAACTTTCAAATTTTCGATTTGCACCCCCCCCCTCAAACTTTCGATTTGCACCCCCCTCAAGTTTTCGATTTGCACCCCCCCTCAAACTTTCGATTTACACCCCCCCCTCAAGTTTTCGATTTGCACCCCCCCTCGAGTTTTTCTCTATATATTTTGCTATTTTTTGCCTTGGTGTCACCCCCCTAAATGGTGTCACCCGGTGCGGTCCGCACCCCCCGCATCTGATGGTTTCATGAAAGTTTTCTTGGACCTGGGCTCTCCACTCTCGTCATTTTCAGCCACATCATTTCTGTTGCGTTTCTTCGCAAATGTCTTGGCTATTACACCCATTAGTGATGAATACCTATTGACCATTTCTTGGTCACTGACACTGTTTTGTTTTTCTATCTCTTCTGACCTCTTCGCCTCTTCTTCAGCACTTTGTAGTCGCATTATTTTCTCTATTTCAGGATTAAATCCCTGATAAGACTGTGGACCAAAACGTAGTCCTTCACAAACAACATAGCTTTGATTTTGTAGAAATAATGACCCTTTAGTTTTGTAATCTGGTATATCTAGTACCCAATGTTCATCATCAATGACTTTCTGTTGTTCCTCTTCATTTTGTTCTTTTTCTATCCTGAGGACACTTCTTTGCATGAACTTCATCTGAAGAACATTGTTAGAGAGATGAGTTCCTGCTTTCTTGGCAGTCATGGTTGTATATAATCTGAGTCGGCATGTCTATTTACAGTATCATTTTAAGACCGACAAGTCAGACCACTGCCTACGAACAACTCGTGTCGTTACGTCCGTTTCTTATTGTAGGCTAAGTTTTTTTTTTTTTTTTTTTTTTTTTTTTTTTTTTTGCCATATGTGTGTAAGTGCATTAGTGAGTTTTGTAAAAATCAGTTTTATTTTATCTAGGCATTTTGCAGAACAGAGTATGAACATGTATTAGAAACCTTCAAAGTAATTAGGACTTATTTATTATCGGAAGAATGTTAATTCATACTAGGTTGATTGTGGTTTATTTTATTAAAAAAAATAATGACATAGGTGTAAAATGAATTAAAAAGCAAATGTGTAGTTGAATCTGTATTGGTTGCTACAGAAGGTGAGCGAGGAATATCAAGTGTATGTGTAAATGACCCTCATTATGTAAAACAGATAATTCACGTGTCAACTATCAACAGTTGTCTCCCTTAGGCCTATTTCTCCTCGCGTTAAACAACACTTCTCTCCCCTTTCACCCGACCCGTTGAAACGAGTAGTTTCGCCTTTTAAAAATAAATAAACAAATACATGTTTCATGTGGTGTATTTAATACACATTGTCCAATAGTGATCCACTGCCCGCCGTGACGTCACTGACACACGGACACTGCTGTTATTTTATAGGCTCGCGTTGAGATACATAATGCAAGGGGACCTTTGAATGCGGCCTGGGACGGTATGGTAATGTGCCGGCTCAGCGCGAGCGGAGGCTTAACGATGCTTGTCGGTCGGTACCGTGACGTCGCAGCACGTGTTCTATGGAGGAGGGGGTGGAGGGTGGGTGGGGGGGAGGGAGGGAGGGATGAGCCGTGAGATAAAATAAAAAGTGTGAGTCGGCGTGGCGACCCAGAAAACAAAACTTGTCACACGGGGGCCCGATGCAGTGTGACGCGTGTGCTGGTAATTGATATGACGTGGATGCGACTACCTACTGATATGACCTGTTGTCCAGATATTATGGCATGTGTGCGACCACTAGTTCGCAGAGCCTACAGATACCTGTATGTGTATGTTTCACTATAGGTACAGTTTTTTTTTGTTGTTGTTTTTTTGTTATTGTTTATTAAATTAGCAAACCGTGTGCATTGAGATAAATATTCTTGTAACATTACAATCTAATTGGACTTAGAATCTATATGTTGAAGCGATCATTGCTGTTTATTATTGTATGATGGCTTACATTGACCGCTCGATCTTACCTGTGTTTTAAAAACAGGCGGGACAGAACCACCGGTATCAGGTGTACATCAGCATGGCAACAACGTCGTGTCCGTTAAAGTGCGGTGGATTTTCGTTTTCTTGGTGGTGTTTCCGGTAGAGAATCTTCTGTATTTTCTACTGCGAGTTATGTAGTAGAGCTAGTTATAATGTTTATACTACTAGTTATGTAGAGATAGTTATAATGTTTATACTGCCAGTTATGTAGATATAGATAGTTGTAAGGTTTATAATTCTAGTTATGTAGAGATAGTTAAAAGGTTTAAAGCTCTAGTTATATAGAGATAATTATAAGGTTTACACCGCTAGTTATGTAGAGATAGTTATGTTTTAAACCGCTAGTTATGTAGAGCTAGATCTAGTTATAATGTTTATACTGCTAGTTACGTAAGATAGTTATAAGGTTTATACTGCTTTTCTAGTTACGTAGAGATAGTTATACGGTTTATAATATAGAGATAGTTATGTTTTAAACTGCTAGTTATGTAGAGATAGTTATAAGGTTTATACTGCTTTTCTAGTTACGTAGAGATAGTTATACACTTATAAGGTTTATAATATAGAGATAGTTATGTTTTAAACTGCTAGTTACGTAAAGATAGTTATAAGGTTTATACTACTGGTTATGTTTTTAACTGCTGCTGTAAGGATATATGTTTTCCATATGTTTCAATGTGTTTGTGTTTAGGTTTTATACTACTAGTAAAGTAGATAGCTTGAACTGTTATACCTCTAGTGGAGTAGATATCTAGTTCTAAGTGTTTTTACTCTGGTAAAAAACAGCATTTTTCAAGGTTTTTGTTTTAGATTTATTTAGTAATTTTAAAGACATTAAAATTTTAAATCTTTGTTGTAAGCAATTTTGGAAATATAATATAATATTATTTTATATTATATATATATATATATATATGAACATTAGTCTTAAATTAATTAGAAAATTAAAAGAGGATGGTGAGAAAGTTTCTGAAATAAACTTTACCACCGCAATGTTTATTTTGATATGGTGCTATTGTTTCACTTAACATTATTCTACTTACAAATCTAAGAAGCATCAATGTCCCATATACGTCAATACCCTATCTATATAATATGTTATATAAATCTTCTCTCTCAACTTAAAACAATTTCCCGATAATAAATATTTTTTTAAACTATAAATAAATGATACCAATTAATAAAGCCCTCCACGCTTCAATGATTACAAGTGCATCTTAAATTTCATGTCTTTAAGACTTTGTTTTTTAAATAACCGTGTTCGTTTTCCTTTAGTTCAATGTCGTCTCTGGTTATTAGAGATGTGGAAACATTATTTGTAAAGATCTTTTGTAACTTAATTTAAGTTGCATAAAAGAGAAACGGTCTAATTGTAGGTACTTAATTTTTTTTAGTAGTTTAAAGTTTTCTTCTTCATTCTTTTTCCCGTTCGTGCCTAAGACACATGGGGCAGATAAAGTAGAGTTCACCTGTTTCAGTGACCTCGGCATATGAATGGATAATGAGTTTCAAGTGTAATTTAAAAAAAAATTCTCGCTTCTAGTAACAGTTTCCTGAACTATAAATAATGTATTAGTGACAAAGTGGAGATAAAGCTGTATGTTTGTCACGTTAGAGTAGTCTTCCAGGATTTGCCTTTTATTTTTACAACTCTATGAACTTTAACCTGGTAACAATGCCACCGTGGATTAAGTTAAAGCTAAATAATATTTATAAATATATATATATTTATAAATTTTTTTACCGCCCCCCCCCCGAACGAAATGAAATTTATATAATTTATATAGAAAATATATACTTTTAACAGTGTCCGCCCCCCCCCCCCCCGAAGAAAGTCTCCCGCCCCCCCCCCCCCGAAAATTTCAAGTGCCCCCCCCCCCGGAGAAAAAAGTCTGGAAGAAACACTGCAACAGAGGCTTTGGCAAGGTGCTTTCATATGAGGGGTTACCCCACCCCCCTCTCCAACACCCAGTTGCCTACGCCACTGATCTTTATTATACCAGTCTATTCTAATGTATGTCGTCATTTCGCACCAGTTCGACAAAATATTTTGAAAATCGTCAAAAACTGTATACTGTCACACTTCTCTACCGCCTACAATAGTAAATATAACGTTAGTTTAACTATTCGCGATATCATCTGAAATTATATTGTAGGCTACGCAACCTGTTTTTAACTTTATTCACGGCTCTTTGATGGGTAAACGATAACTAGTGAACAGTTCAGCACATGTGTATTTCATAAATTTTTATTTATTAATTAAGAGGATAAAATTAAATTCTTTTGATATAATACTTTTTCCCACCACTATTTTATTATTTCCTGGTGGGTTAAGAGAACCCTCCCTAACATTTTGACCCATAACCCCTGCCCTCGTCTAATCCCCCGCCTCCCACAACTTTAGAACCAATGATGTAAGTGAAGATGTCACCCCGCACAATTGGCCAGATAAAACAACCAGAAACTGGCCAGAAGTTGGTTCATTGATTAGCTTTCAGTGCCGAGACCGAGAGGGTCTTCTGATATTAATCATTGCCAATAAACACACGGCCAGAGAGGGAAAGGTTAGGATAAACACATGACACATGTGTACGGCGGGGGTGGGGGCGGGGGAATACTGCTAGACACAGAGGAGTTGTAAATAATACTATACGTCTAAAACGATCTAGTAGAAAAAAATATTCCAACAACATTCGCCATTCTATTTATTGCTCTACATGAGGTTCTATAAGTAATGTTTTTCTTCATAAAGATGATACTTTTTTTTTGTCTTTCAAGTAACTTCTGTTGTAAGATCTTATACTTAAGAGAGAGTGGACAAGTTTAATCTGTATGGAGGAAATTATTACTTTTCATTACAATAGCATAGAGCTATATGAAAGAAAGTTTTAACTGTTAAGTTAACCATACAGGTCAATATCAAAATAATTTTCACCTAACGTTTTACTTCGTTCTTAATTAATTTTAATTTTGGAGGATATAACCTCCAACACAATTAAGCATAACGTGTCAATATGCCATAAGCCTCGTTGACTGAGACTTAAGTTTGCTTTTCTTTCTGGATTTGCTTCCATAGCAAGGCAGCAGTTGTTTGGTTTTAGAGTTGTCTCTCCTAGATGGGTTGGTTAAAATCCATGTCCTTCCCAAATCCTTTTATCGAGGTAGTAATTTAACGAGAGTATGGATGTCATGTAGTCTAAGATTGTAACTTCTGAAATTGATTTGTCATGTTAGTGATCAAATGGTGCTAATCTGACAAAACGTGTCTTGATTTGACTGTCTTAACGCAGATACAGAGGCGTAGCGACACTTCCCGGGATAAACTTTCAATTTGGCGCCCCCCCCCCCTCGGGAGCAACTTTTCAATTTTCAATTTGCACCCCGCTCAAACTTTCGATTTGCACCCCCCCCCCCCCTCAAACTTTCGCTTTGCACCCCACCCTCATGCAAATATGCAGCTAAAATACTATTTTTTGTTTTTTCCAACCCATTTTGGCTCCCCCTAAAGTACCCCCCCCCCCCCTCGCTACGCCTCTGAGCAGATATCATTTTGAAAAGGTCGGCTATCATCTATTGTTAAGATAAATGTCTTCTTTGATTGTCCATTTTAAGTGTCAGAATCCTATGCAGAGAGGAAAAAAATCTTTTAAAATAATTGTTCCTTTTATGTGTCGGCATATGTGAGGAAGGTCTTGTAAAATGTCGTGTTTAATTTTATTAAAATATTCTGTCCAGCTGTCCTCATATGTCCTGTCTGACTGTCATGAGATGTCCTATTGAGCTGTCCTATAATGTCATAAAAACTTTTTTTCCCTGTACTACTGTATTA